GGTTAAGTGCGCGCGCTCCGCTACTGGTGGCCCGGGTTCGGATCCCGGGCGCGGATCCCGGGCGCGCACCGACGCACCGCTTCTCCGGCCTGGCCATGCTGAGGCCGCGTCCCACATACAGCAACTGGAAGGATGTGCAGCTGTGACATGCAACTATCTACAGGGGCTTTGGGGGAAAAATAAATAAATAAAATCTTTAAAAAAAAAAAAAAAAAGAAAGAGGGGAAAGAATGCTCAACATGATCTTTACCTTCAGTATGAACTGTGAGCCCCTAAAAGATTAGCATCAGGCAGGGTCTCCTTTTCCTGTTATATGTAACCACCACAGTAAAATATGTATATGACATATAGCAAAGGAAAAAGAGACCCTGTCTGATATAATATGATTATTATTATATAATAATATAACACATACTATGTTACGTATAAAGACTCTTTTCCTGGGTTGGCTACTATTGAAGGACTGCACGGGCAGTAACTGTGTCTAGGAATAAAGACAGATGGAGAGAGAAAGAGAAAAGCACACCGTCGCTCTCAGGCTTTCTCCTTGTGCTGATTCGTATTTCAGATCCGTTGAGTTTTTGTTTCCTTACTTGTTTGTTTGTTCAGTTGGTTGATTTTTCATATTTTCCCCTGTCGTTCTGAGCCACAGAACTCATTAACCCTCACACAATGAACTGATGTTGGTTTAGCTGGAGTGATCATGTTATATAAACACAGTGATAAAGAACTATGTGAGTCTCCCTACGAACGTGCCAGAATCCCTAATTGAGTTATGAGAACCTAGCTATTGTTCTGATGGGAGTGATGGGGCCACCATAACCTAGCTATTGTGATTTCTACTTAGCTTCTGGGGGACTTCAAACTTTGGCCTGCTTCCAGAAAATGGTCAACGTGCTTAGATTTCTAAAATTTGTATGATTTTGATTGTGAAAGTACCAAGAGTTTCATGCCAGTGTTCTATGGTGTATTTAGTTTTCCTAAAGGGAATGCTTTCTGTTTAATTCCTAGAGTCATGGTGTAGAGCCAGAGGGACCTCCCTCCTTTAAACTGAAGCTCTGGGAGGTCTGTTATCTACCTTTCTAATATTTCCCAGCCAACCTTCCCCCCCATTTTCATTACCGCTGTCCTAGTTCGTGGTTAATCAAATCTCACGTGGACAATTGCAATAATCGTAACTGTCTGCGCTGTTCTGTGCCTTCCTTCCTTGAACTTCCGCCATTTGCACTAACCCAAGATTGACCTTTCTGAAAACACACCTAATCATTTTATTTTACTTCCATGTATAAAAATCCTACGAAGGATTCCTGTTGTATTCGAAATAATATCAAACTCCTTTACTTGTCACAAAAAAACTTCCCTTTCCCACCTCAGCACCTACCACTTTCTACTCCGTCACTGGAATAATTCAAGTTCATGGACACACAATAGTGTTTCACACCCCGTCTTTGAATCTGCTTTGTCCTCTGTCTAAAATGACCTTTCCTCCTTGCCCACTGGAAAGTCATTCATCAAGACCCAATTCAGGCATCTCCTCTTTAACACCCTTCTCTACCCCCAACAAGATACAAACGTGTATTAGTACAACAGGGCTGTGCTGCAGAGTAGGAGTTGGAGGCTGGAGTCCTGAGGGTCTTTGAAGACTCAGGGGAGAACAAGAGCACCCATTGGGCCGAAAAAGTAAAGTCAATAGACTGAGAAGAGCCAGAAGACAACACTCTGTGGAAGATGCTTTTGTTCTTATCTCTTCTAGGGGCACTAAGAAAGCTTCCTCTGACAAGTGTGTCTTTGATGGAGAAGAGATTAGCCGACAACATCTACTAGAAGCCTTGGCTTGCGTTGAACGAGAAGTAGGAAAGTTGCAACCCAGCAATGAAAGAAGGGTCAGCTCTGGGAGAGAGGGGACATGGTAGTTAGAGGGGATACAAGAAAAGTTTTCCTGAACATATTAATATTTAAAATATGCTTCCTCTCAAAATAAATGACAGTTCTTTAAATCAAATTAATTTAGCTTTATGAAAAACTCATTGCATTTTGCTTATTTTTCTTCCTTTCTCGTGGAACTGTGAAGAATTTGATGTGGACCAGCATTTTGGAGTCAGTGGTTTGCTAAATCACATATAGGCCCTTTTTACGCTGTATTTTGACCTGTTTATAAGCACTGGAACTGTGGTAATAAGAAATAGACATCCTGAGAAGGTGGGATTGTAAGTCAGTGCAGAATTTAAGGAGGGCCCTCTGGAAACACCTATTGGTATAAAATGTGTATATTCTTTGATCCAGCATGTCCACGTCTAAGAATTTATTCTCATGGACTGACTGGGTGAGTTCACACTGATGTGTATGCACAGATGTCATGCAAGCACTGTTTATTATATTGAAAAGTTAGAAAAAACCTAGATGTCCTTCAGTAGGAACTGGTTAAATAAATTGTGGTACACTTACGTAATAGGCTACAATGCAATTGTCAAATAAAGGCTACTCCCCATGGTTAAATAGAATGAGGTAGACCTACATATATTGACATAGGTAAATGTCTCTGATATATTGTTAATGGAAAAAACAGGTTACAGAAATATAATGTCATTTAATATATAACCTGATTTATTTTATTTTTTAAGCAGCTTTATTGAAAAGTAATTCACATATCATACAAGTCACCCATTTAAAATGTACATTCAAACTCATCACCACAATCTAATTTAGAAGATTTTTATTCCCCCCCCGAAAGAAACGACTGCCCATTAGCAGCCAACTCCCATTTCCTAAGCAACCACTAAATCTACACTCTGTTTCTATTAATTTGCCTATTCTGAACATTTCGTATAAATAGAATGATCTTTGTGTCAGGCTTCTTCCACTTAGCATAATGTTTTCACATGTCACCTATGTCACAGTATATATCAGTACTTCATTTCTTTTTATTGCCGAATAATATTCCTTTGTGTCTATATACCACATTTTATTTGTCCATTCATCAGTTGATGGACATTTGGATTGTTTCTACTTTTTTGATATGATGAATAATAATTATGAATATTTGTGTGCAAGTGTTTGTGTGAATATATGTTTTCATTTTGCTTGGGTATATACCTAGGAGTGGAAATTGGGGGTCATATGATAACTCTATGTTTAAGTTTTTCAGGAACTCTCAAACTGTTTTCCGAAGTGGCTGCACCATTTTACATTCCCACAGCACTGTATGAGGGTTCCAATTTCTCCACATCCCAGCCCACACTTATTATTATGTATCTTTTTCATTATAGTCATCCTGGTGGATGTGAACTGGTATCTCATTGTGGTTTTGATTTGCATCTCCCTAATGACCGAAAGATAAGAACATCTTTTCATGTGCTAATTGGCCAATTCCAATTTATTTTTAAAGGTTATATTTATATGAGCAAACACATCTGGTAAGTTATATACTAACATGTTAATAGTGCTTTTGTCTTGGGAATGGTACTTCTGATTTCCTATTGTGATTCTGTATTATTTAGGGTTCTACCAAAGGAACAGAACCAGTATGATGGATGGCTGGTTGGATGGATGGATGGATAGATAGATAGATAGATAGATAGATAGATAGATAGATAGATAGATAGGTAGACAGACAGACAGATGTATTACAAGGAATTGGCTTATGTAATTATGGGGGCTGCTAGGCAAGCCCAAAATCCATACAGTAGAGTAGATGGTCAGAAAGAGTAGGCTGGAACTGAAGCTGCAGTCCACAGACAATATTCCTTCTTCCTCAGGGAAACCTCAGTTCTCTTAAAGCCTTCAACTGATTGGATGAGGCCCCCCCAGATTATCATGGATAATTTCCTTTAGTTAAAGTCAACTGATGGTAGATGTTAACCACATGTACCAAATACCCTCACAGCAACACCTAGATTAGCGTTTGATCGAATAACTGGCTATGATAGCCTAGCTCAACTGACACATAAAACTGATCATCACTACTTCCTTCTGTTTTATTTAATTATTTTTACCTGTCTGTGTTACTTTTTTTTTTTTTTTTTTTGGTGAGGAGATTGGCCCTGAGCTAACATCTGCCACTCCTCCTCTTTTTTTGCTGAGGAAGACTGGCCCTGGGCTAACATCTGTGCCCATCTTCCTCCACTTTATATAGGACGCCGCCACAGCATGGCTTGCCAAGCAGGGCGTTGGTGCACGCCCGGGATCCGAACTGGGGAACCCCGGGCCGCCACAGCGGAGCACGGGCACTTAACTGCTTGCACCACTGGGCCGGCCCCTGTATTACATTTTTAATCAGCAAAAACAATAAAGGTAGTTTCTTTAAAAAAAAACTTTTTTACACAGAAGTATCTTTACTTTTCACATTTGATGATTGAACTTGTCCATGTTGATATCCTCCAGAATGCTCAGCATAATAGCTTGTACCCAGTAGATTCATATCAGATACAATATTAGTTTTCTATTGTTGCTATAACAAATTAACATAAATTTAGTGACTTAAAACAACACAGCTTTATTCTCTTGCAGTATGGAGGTCAGAAGTCCAAAATCAGTTCCACTGGACTCAAGTCAAGGTGTTGGTAGGGCTGGTTCCTTTCAGAGGCTCTGAGGACAGAAGCCTCTTCCTTGCCTTCTCCAGCTTCTAGAGCTGTATTCCTCACATTCCCGGGCTGGTGGCCTTTCCTCTTCATATGCTAGTACTGTAGCATCTTCAGATGTGTCTCTGCTTACCTTCTCCTTGTCTGTAGTCAAATCTCCCTCTGCCTCCCACGTATAAGGACACGTGTGATTACATTTAGGGCCCACCTGGGTGGTCCAAGATACTCTTGCCATCTCAAAGTGTTTAATTCAATCACATCTGCAAAGTCCCTTTGGCCATATAAGGTAACATTAATAGGTTGCTGTGTACTATTCAGCCTGCCACAGATACTTGTTGGCTAAAATAGTCACAAAGCAGACCTTGCAACATTGTTTTCTTTTTCCAAGAAATCTTGACTCACAAAGCGATTCCCTTTTGACAGGCTAATGTCAGTGTGGCTCATTCTGGGGAGAACTGCAGACCCCAAACTGAAGCTGCGCTGCCCAAGGACCCTGTGGGCAGCCCTGAAGGCCTCGAAAAACAGGCCCAGTTGGGAAGCCTACCCGGAACTATTCCAGAAAGTTCCCCATCTTCTAGTGAGAGAAACGGAAGAGTAAATTCAGGTAACAGCCCCTATTCATGTTGATCTCCATAAAATACTGTTTGCTGAGTATAATTTATAGTTTATGTTTGGTGACCACGTTATCACAGCTTTGGGGGCCAGGCAGGACTCTAAATTGCAAGGTCCTTATCTCTAAGACATTAGGATTTAGCCTTACACCTTCATTAGGTGAGTAAATAATACTAATCATTAATCTTCTTGTCAATGAAGTAATTAAAACCATCTTCTTTTTTTTTTTTTAGTAAGGAAGATTGGTCCTGAGCTAACACCCGTTGCCAATCTTCCTCTTTTTGCTTGAGGAAGAGTGGCCCTAAGCTAACATCTGTGCCCATCTTCCTCTATTTTGTATGTGGGATGCCTCCATAGCATGGCTTGATGGGTGGTGTAGGTCCACACCTGGGATCCGAACCTGTGAACCCAGGCCACCGAAGCGGAGCGCACGAACTTAACCACTATGCCACCAGGCCAGTCTCCTCTTTTTTTTTTTTAACTAAGAGCCCTTGTTGGTAGTTGGGAACAGGCCATAGGAATAGGAGTTGCACTGGCTTTGGTTGAAAGGAATTAAGTTGCACTTAAATTCTTTTCAACCCCCACTATGTTAACCTCTTTCCAAGGGAAAGTTCTATACTTGAAAAAAATAAATAACACCTACATCAAACTATGTCCCTTGTCTCTCCCCATCCAAAGTATCAGCAAAAATACAATAAAAGAATCTTTCAAAAACATGGAAGAAGTAATTACAACCTGGTGTGTTCTTTAGAAACAATTTGTGGTTTTTCCTACGCTGTGTTTTTGCTCTACTTGAGTTACCCCCCAATGTTAACTTAAGAGCTCTTATTTATATTTCATCAGCCTTGGAACCAATTGAACTTAACAGACCACAAGGAAATGTACTCTGCTTTATTTGGGGTGAAGGGGTTCGTTTCATCCCTCATCGCTGCAATCTCTTCCCTAGGTACAAGTTAGCATTGGAAAACAGATGAGTTAATAGACGAGATTCTTTTTTGTGGATTTCTGTGGCACCCTCAAGTTATCACAAATTTCACATTCGCCCTCGTCTGGTGCTTCTGACTTGGTGTAGACATGATCTCTGAGAATGAGGTAGGAGGACGAGGGTGCAGGGCAAGGATGGCCCCTCCCTCTCTCTATGGGTTGGGCCAGCACATGTATTTTTTCTCTCTGATAATTCTGTTGATGAGAATCCCTCCTAGACTGCAGCACAAATGCTCAGTATCTATGGTGTTAACAGACTACAGGTTGTCAGGCAGCAGGGACCTGGGTATGCCCTCGGACAGTCAGTCCCGCCAGCCATACACTGTTGACAGCAGTATGAGGGGGCCACAGGTAAGCAGAGTAGAGCTGAGAGAGTAGTTTGGGAGGGAGTGAACTACAGATGTTTTCAAAATGTAGTGTAAATTAGTTTTCAGGAAAGATCTTACCACAGAAGGAATAAGAACTAGTGCCCTGAGCTGTATACTTTTTCTCTGCCTGGTTTCTCCTCTGTCTCCCAGGCCTTGGCGTCTTCCTTTCTACATCCCTGCTCTTCACATCTACAGAGTATATTTGTTAAAAATTTCAAGTTTCAGAGAGCCGGCCCAGTGGTGTAGTGGTTAAGTTCGCACACTCTGCTTCGGCAGCCCAGGGTTTGCAGGTTTGGATCCCCAGCGCGGACAGATGCACCGCTCGTCAAGCCATGCTGTGGCGGCGTCCCATATACAAAACAGAGAAAGATGGGCACAGATGCTAGCTCAGAGCCGATCTTCCTCAGCGAAAAGAGGAGGATTGGCAATGGATACTAGCTCAGGGCCAATCTTTCTCACACACACACAAAAAATTCAATTTTCATGTTAACGTTTTCCAAGTATTTCCTTTCAAAAAAAAACTTCTTATTTTGAACAGTTTCAGATAAGAAAAGTTGCAAAAAACAAAGAATCCTGTATTCTTTCACCCAGATTCCCCAAATGTTAGCATTGTACCACATTTCTCCCCCATCATCCTCCCCCTTCCCTCCCTCCCTACTTCCCTCCCCTCTCTCTCTCTCCCATATATAAGTATGTTTTTTCTGAAAGCAAGTCACAGTCATAATGATACTTTACTCAAATACATCAGTATGTATTTCCTAAAAACAAAGACATTCTTTGCAAAATCACAGTACAAGGATCAAAATCAGGAAATTACCACTGATGGAGTACTATTATCTCATCTACAGACCACATTCAAGTTTAATTAATTGTCTGACAGATGCACTTTATAAATAAATGTCTGCTTCAAGATCTAATCCAGGATCACATGTTTAATTTAGCTGTCATGTGGCTTTAGTGTCCTTTAATCTGGAAGAATCCCTTGGCTTTTCTTTGTCTTTTATAACCTTGATATATTTGGAGATGTAGGCCATTTATTTTGTAAAATGTTCCTCAATTTGGGTTTTTCTGATATTTCCTCATGATTAGGTTCAGGTTATGCATTTTTAGCAAGAATACCAAAAATGATATTGTATCCTGCTTAGTACATCACAACAGGAGGTATGTGATATCTATGTTTGATTTTTATTGTGGTGTTTTTTTTTTTTTGCCTTGCCATAGTTTTTTTAAATGTAGTAAAATTGATCAATCTTTTCTTATATTGAATCTGGATTTTGATTCATAATTAGAAAGCCTTTCCCTACACCAAGCTTAAAGATGAATTCAACCATGTTTTCTTCTATGACTTCACTTTTTACGTTTCTGCTTATGAAAAATTTCTAATGTATGAGAAAATGCTAACGTAGATGCTCACTACATAGAAAATAAAACTGTGTATTTAGTATGATGTCAAATTTATAAAAATAAAATTTTATGTGTTAACAATGGTAATCTCTGAATGGTAAGAGTATGGATATTTTTATTTTCTTTTTTATATTTCCCAAGTTTACTATGATAACCATGTATTGCTTTTATAATCAGAAAGAAGCATAATGTTATTTTTAAATATTCACCTAATAGTCTTCGATGTCCCAATGAATTGTGAAAATTAGTTGAGATGACTGATATAGTCCAGGGATTTCTGTATAGGTTAGCTACTGTAAATGTCAAGCCAAATACTTTGGTGGACTCAGAAAAAAATGGATTGAAATGATTATATGTATATAAAGTACTTAATATAGTACCAGGTACTTAAGTGCTCAATAGATAGTAACTGTTATTATTTTGACCCTCTGGGTAAGCTCACCTTCTAACAAAAAATTATTCTAATTCCTTGAAGAGGATTTACCTCTAACTTTTTAATTGAATTTTTCTCTGTTGTTTCAAGTTTCTATTTTCCTGGAAGATATGTTTTATGACTCTGTACCAAAATCTGTGTGGAGCACTTTAAAATGAGTTTTAGCTCTATTTCACACACGTCCATGGGTAGAAGAAACAGCACTGGAAAGATAAGGAAATGGTAGGGAATTTTTTGGAGTTCCTTGCAGTGGTAAATCAGAGAAATCTCCTAAAAGGAAGGCTAATATTCTGAAGTGAGAGACATCTGGTTAGTGTGTGTGTGTCTGTGTGTTTTTTCTATCTTCCCACTACAAATTCATGAAAACTGTCTTGTTAACCAGTGAGGTTAGAAATTTTCCAAAAAAGCCTCCATCTTCTAAATGGAATGGATTTGGTTACTATCAAGACTTCCTTAATGTTACAAAATAGAAGACAGCTCATTTCTGAGGACTCCATATCACACCTTTATTTTCTAATGTGGAGAGGTAAAAACAACCACTTGTTTGCTTATTGATATAATTGGGTGATCTGTGATGAGAAGTCTCTCTCATAAGTGCAGTTTATAAAACTGTTTATTATAGACCTATAAACTGTTTCAGTGCTGATTTTTAGAATCACTTACAAAAATTTAGATGATATCACTGAACTCTGGTTCTGATTTGGTTCAAAGCCTCTTTTCAAACAGGCTTACTTTTACTTATGCAGATTTAGCAGATGGCGTAATTGTAAACTCAAGGTTGCAGAACGAGAAGTCTCTTGGCAACATCAAGCTGTTTATCCTTTGTATACAAAGCATAGAAACTAAACTGCAACTCATAAAGAGTCACCGAAAGAATGTCTGATTCTTAACGGTGGTTTAGCTTCATAATTAGTGCAGAGAACCCATGTAGTCATACCCAAGTGTATAACTGTTGTTACAACAAGTAGTACACAGCAGCACATGAAAGACTTTTTGTTATGTTAATACAAGACCTGCTAAGTAAACAGTATATTATGTTGATGTGTACCCTCTGTAAGAACATTAAGAATTTAAACTTCAAAGCATTCAAAGATTATAATAGAAACAGATATTTAGGTAAGAGTGTTAAAACTAAGATTTAATTAACTAGCATAATTTATAAGCATCCTTTTAGCATTTGGTTGATAAAAATCTTCATGCTTAAATTTTGCTTTCTTTTTTCTTTTCCCTTGATAGACCTAGTGACCAATGGATTAATCCATAAACCCCAACCCCTAGAGAATCGAGAGCGACAAAAGTCGTCAGACATCCTGGAGGAATTAATTGTTCAAGGAATAATACAAAGCCACAGCAAAGTATTTAGCAACGGAGAATCATGTGATGTCATGGCAAGTAATTTGTAATTAACATTAGCTTATAGTTAAAAATAGCAATAGAGTATGATTGATCATGAGTTATTATTTCCAGCGTGGACATCTTAGAGTCATAATACAGATTATAGCATTTATCTAAGCCAGATTTTTCTCCCATAAATTCCCTCACCCCTCTGCACACCATCCTTCTCTACAAATTCCAGAATTTCCCTAATCATTAATGATTTGCCCTAATCATTAATGATTAATGAATCCAATAAAACATATCTTTGGTTTTCCTAAATTTGAGACACAGTAAGCCCCATTGAATAACATGCCTTCATTCTCTCAGCAGTTTTTATTAAGCATTGCCTATGTACTAGGCATTGTGAGTATAAAACTAAATTCTGATTCTCCAATAAGAAAATAGGCCTAAATGCCAAAGCTGAAACCGATAAGCTTATACATTTATATACACACCCTAAGGTCAAACATGAGGAAATAAATACAATTACAGAAATTGTTATACTCTTATTTTTCTTTATTGATTCATCTTGACTAATCTATCATCATTTTTCTTTAGTGTGAGCAATATTTTTACTCTGATTTTAACTGGTTGTGGCCAAAGTCTTGAGTTCCTAGTTTTTTAATAAGTTCGGTGTAAACTTGTGAAGAGGATAGCAGGTTTTGTTGTTGTTGTTTTGTTTTGTTTTCTTGTTTGTTTGTTGTTGTTTTTAACCAGTGCTCCCAGGCAGCACCAGTAGTCCTAAAGCATAGACAGAAGAAAGAAGATGAAAAGAATAAATAGCAAATAAAAGAAGCCTGGGGAAAAATGAATGGGAAAGAAAAGAAAGCAACAGAAATGGTGGAAATAGAGACCAGAACTTGCATCGAAGTCTCCTCAATGGAGCCCTGTGTTGTAGGGAAAACAGTCAATTGGAAATAAAAAGATTCATTATTTAGATCAAATTTGCCACCTAGACCAAGTCACTTAGTGTTTGAATAAAGGTACTTTCCTTCTCTGTGTGTAGGAAATCCTGAGAACTCATGAATAAATGTCAAAGTGGCATTTTCTTTTGAAGAAGGAAAATAAGTCCTGCAGAAAGTATTTGGGGAAAAGAGAGCAGATTGCTAAACCTTATGAATGATATTATCAGGCTGCCAATAATAAGAGGATGTGGGAGAAAGGGAAAGGGAAAGGGAAAGATGGATTATATAGTGGAAAAGATAATGCCAATATAATGACAATTTACATCTGTACAATGCTGTCAAGATACAAGGCATTTTGGAGTACCTTATCTTATTCGAAAGTATTGAAAGAAAGATAGGTCTTTAATATGGAAAGGGAGAGGAGAGATTTTTTTTCTAGCTGTAGGTGAGCCTCTAGGGGTCAGAAAAAAAGAAGGTATGTCAAAAGAAAAAGACAGGAGAGCAATCTGGAGAAGAATAGATTGTGGAAACATTCAGCAGCTAAGTGATGACTTGTTAAAGGAAATGCTGTAGAACTTTGATGCTAACACCAGTGGGAATAGCATTAAAACCTTTTTTGGTGGGGCCAGGCCGGCAGTGCAGTGGTTAAGTGCACGTGCTCCGCTTCGGTGGCCCAGGGTTCTCAGGTTCCAATCCTGGGCGCACATCAACCCACCGCTTGTCGAGCCATGTTGTGGTGGCGTCCCATATAAAGTAGAGGAAGATGGCACGGATGTTAGCCCAGAGCTGATCTTCTTCGCAAAAAAAAAAAAAAAAACCCAGAAAAACCGTTTTTGGTGATTCAAACACCAGAGATGAATGAGTTCAGACTCAGACCTTGCAAGGGCAAAGGCAAGGTTGATTAATATAAGCTACATCATGAAAGAAATGTATCTATTAAAAGATGAAAACTATGGGCTTGACTTTCAATAACATCATTAAGTGAACCCAAGATGAAGACTCTGTTCATATTATATAGAAATGGAATGGTTGTCAGGGGCATAGTTGGAGTGTTTTCAAAAGGATTTAAATGTGACAGGACTGCAGAGGTAGGCAAGAATAACACAGTTCTTTTCTTTTTTTTTATTGTTTTGGAATTGGGCCAAGATGTCCTAACATAAACCAGACTTGCAACAGGCCGGAGCAATAACACACAGCTGAGTGTTTTATTGCCTAGTGCAGTGGTCCTTAACCTGCTGCACATTCGAATCACCTGGGAAGCTTTCAAAAATCCCAGTGCCCAGGCCCCACCTGGGACCAGTGGCTGGGGCCCCGGCTATGGTGCTTTAGAAAGCTCCCAAGTGATTCCAGTGGGCAGCCCAGGCTGAGAAGCACTGCCCTGAAGTTTCAGTGAATGTGTTCACAAAACCCTCAAAAAGGGTTAATGCTTTGAATAGAAATCCCCCATTCATTGTGAAAAAGAATTCTAAAATATTCTTGAAAACATAACATTTTCAGGTATAAGACTAAGATTATACCCAGGAACTATATGGAAATGAAGGAGATATAATTGCTCAGTGTCACAGGTAAAGTTTTCGATTCAGGTGTAGGTGAGAACATAAGTGTGTCAGACACCAGATGTCTCACATATTTTGGGAAGAGTTATGAGGCCAATGTAAGAAGTTGAGAATGAATATTGAAGGACTAAAAGGGGAACCACATGAAGAATGGAAATATTATTAGACAGTTAATACTTTAAACTATTAATACTTAATATTGTTTTTTAGAAAGAAAACATAAAATAAAATTGGCTAAAAAACAAACTGGAGTCAGAGAAACACACAAAAAAAGGATGGTCTAAAAAGGGATGTTAGGGACCAGCCCAGTGGTTGGGTTCGCATGCTCCGCTTTGGCAGCCTGGGGTTTGCGGGTTTGGATCCTGAGCGTGGACCTACACCACTCATCAAGCCATGCTGTGGCAGCGTCCCGCATACACAGTAGAGGAGGATTGGCACAGATGTTAGCTCAGGGCGAATCTTCCTCAAGCAAAAAGAAAAAGACTGGCAACAGATGTTAGCTCAGGGCCACTCCTCCTTAAGCAAAAGGAGGTAGATTGGCAACAGGTGTTGGCTCAGGGCCAATCTTCCTCACCTCCCCCCCCCCAAAAAAAAGAGAGAGAGATGTTAATGTCAGCAGTTATTACAGTGTGATGAATTCAATTAGACATGCAAACACTATTTCTTCACTGGTACAAAAAAATCTTTTAAATAAAATATTATGGGAAAAAATAGAATAATAAATGTGAGAATACTTTAAAAACAAGTCTTCTTATAGTATACTTAGGCCAATAGTATACTTAAATACAAGGGAATTTTAGACATAGATCAGTTCCCTTCTTAATGAGGTTGTTATTTTTAATTCAGTTATCATTTAGAGTGAAATATAATAAAGGATGCTGAAAAGTGAGGGTCTTTCATTCATCTTCTGAATCAGGGGACTCCCCTGTGAGCTACTCTCCCTAGAGGTCCATGGCAGTGTCTGTGTCCACCACAGGGCCCCCTTTCTTCTTTTTTCTTAATTTTTATCATTTGCCTGTTTGCTAGTACTACAGCAATTCTGTAGTGCCCTCTGGATAACCTGCTTTCAAGCATATTCATACTAATAGATGTTATGCTCACTCAAAAGAATTATAATGATGTGTAAGAAATATAATACTAAGAAGCTAAATATCAGACTAAGTGAATCTTCCAGTGTATTTTAAAACATTCTAGTGAGACTTAAATGGCCATATTTTGAATGTGCATTGGTTTTATGTATACATTACACATGTAAATATGTATATGGATTGGTATAGATCTCTTTAGAGAGAGGTGATTGGCTCTCCTTTATCCACATAGGTATTATCCACTTTAGGTGTCTTTTATCCCAAACCCATTTCTCCCTGCCTCTTAGCGTGTCCTGGGTCTCCCTACGCAAGACTCTGAATTCTCTATTGACTCCTTCTGTCTCTGGTCAAAGTTTATTCCCTTCTCTGGGTGCCTTGTGTACTTGGTAACCTTTAGTGCAGTTAAGGAGTTTATTCATATTGCGTCAGAGTCTCTAACATTATTTGTTGAGCCTCATGGGGAGTTGTTTAAGGAGGAGGAAGTTGACTGGATAAAGACTGAATAATGCCAGTTAACGCTCAGAGTGACCTTCCCTGGGAGGTCTAACAGGGACAGAGCAGGAATGACAGATCTCTTGCGAGAAGCATTTGCCTATTCTATGAGAGAGACTCTGATAAGGGAGTATAGCCAAGGTAGGTTCATCTGCAGGTCAATAGTTAATCAGGAAAGCTCTGAGGAACACACAGTGGATGCAAGAAGTAATATAGACAAGTTAGATTGGTTAGAAACAAGACCCAAATCTTATCACAGCATCTTTGGGCATGGTAGTACGCTGATCATATTCTTAAAGAAAATAATCGAACTAGTAACTTCTATAGGTTTTAAAGTTGATTTTTTTTTTGGTAAGGAAGATTGGCCCTGAGCTAACATCTGTTGCCAGTCTTCCTCTTTGTGCCTGAGGAAGATTGTCCCTGAGCTAACATCAGTGCCAATCTTCCTCTACTTTGTATGTGGGTCACTGCCAAAGCATGGCTTGAGGAGCGGTGTGTAGGTCTGCACCCAGGATCTGAACCCACGAACCCCGGGCCGCCAAAGCAGAGCACACAAACCCAACCACTATGCCACCACGCTAGCCACTGCTTCTTTTTTTTTTTTTTACAGTTTCTGTGGGTAGCACCTCTCTAAGTATAATGTGATCATTGTTATCATTTTGAAGTGTCAACAGTTGGTAAATCCTGACATAAAATCCAGTGGTAACGTATACGAGTATCTTTCCTCAGACCTTTCTGTGCTTCTACTTAAAATGTCAGACTAAAGAAAGGACCAGGGCTACATACGTAGGATTAACTTCCTCAAGGGGGAGGAAGTTCATGATTTCATAAGCATCATTTTGAGATAAAATCACAGGAAGGGTCCACCCAAACCAGAAAACCCAAGTTCTCTCAGAAACACTGATCTCATCACTTTAATCAAGATTCAGACTCCTTTGTAAAGCCAAATCAAGCCTTTCTTTAATGGATCTTGAAATACTATTTCATTTTCTTTTAGCCCTCTATGAATGAACTTCCCTAAAAAACTGTTTTCATACTAATGTCACAGTATCTCTAGTTGAGCCACCATAGCAAGTATGTCCCTCTTTTCAGCAGATGGTTTGTGCCAGCAGGAGGCCCAAGAGCCAATTGTCATGAAAATAATACAGTGATGGGGGAGGGGAAGTTGCTTTGACAACCCATGGTTTTCATGTAGTGAACAACTTGTCACCATGTCACACTATCTGATGGCTGTTGCCGAGCCAACACTTCAGTAAATGTTTTCCCTTTCAAAGGCTTTCTGAGAACCGTAGACCTTAAAGCTGGAAGGAACCTGAGCAGCCCTCAGTCCCCTCACTATTCTTACATCTGAGGAGATGGCGTCTGCAGAGAAGAGGTGCCTTGTCTCAGGTCACACAGTGGTATTAGTGGTAGAGCCGGGGTGGCAGCCCAGGCCCCCTGCTTGCTGGCCTCTGCCGTTCCCACTCTCATTTCTCCCCTTCATGACAAATACTGTGTCTTGGTTATGATTCTGTGTGCTGTCACTGAAAAAAGTCACCACTTTCTCTGAATGAAAAGTAGCTACCATTTACTGAGTGGCTTCTATGTGCTGCTTCTTTTTTTTTCTTTAAACAATGCTGTGAAATAAGTATTATTAAACCTATTTTACGTATGAGGAAAGCAAGGCGTCCAGAGTTTAAGAACTCACACAAAGCCACACCGTGGCTGAGCCAGGACTCAAGCCCAGGTCTGTCTGAGTCCAGATCTGGTGCCTTTTTCTGCTACGCTAAACTGCCTCTCTTTGTTTGATTTATTCTCTCAGTGCCTGCAGTATTGGAGCATGAAGAGACAGTCTTTTAGATATCACAGTGGATGTCAGTAGCTCCTTTGTCTTTAAAAAGTCTTCAGAGAAATTTTCTAGAACAATTTTCAGTTCATTTTATAATGAAGCCTTGGAATTCATTAAGACCTTCCCCAATTGTAATAAATCTGTATATACTGCCCTAGAAAGATGTCCATATTAAATTACGTGAAGAAAGCAAATTACAGAGCAGTGTATGTGATATAATCCCATTTATGTTTGGTTGAATATTACAGATGTACTGCATATATATATGTATAAATATTTGTTCATAGAGAATATCTGGAAAGACACACATCGAACTCTTTAAAATGGTTCATGCTGATGAGTGGGACTGGGGGCCAGCTGGTTAAACAGAGGATTAGGGATCTATTTATGTATCGTTTTAATTTTTCATAACCGATGTATGTTATAAAAAAACTAATTTTTAAAAAGAAAGACATGTAAATTAAAACTTTCTTTATAAACCCTTTACAACAATTTTCTTTTTTTATAATTAGAAATTATAATCAGAAAGCCATTAATACTGCTTTGAACTGCGTAAAGGGTAGTCAATTATACGAAACAGTGTGGGTTTTTTCTGCTGTCATGAAAACATTTGTAAAACCCAGCACAGAGTTGCTGCATCAGTAATTGTTAATTCTCGCTTGCACAAACCAAAAGTACTAAAAACTAATCTCATTCTCAAATGTAAGTCATGTGTAGCTTGTGGAATATTATAAAATCATTGGTTTTGGTGGCCTAGTGTTCTGATTCAGTGGCCTGCATTCGGTTCCCAGGCACAGACCTACACCACTTCTCAGTGGCCATGCTGTGGCGGCAGCTCACATACAAAATAGAGGAAGATTTGCCCGAAGCTAACATCTGTTAGCTTCGGGCAAATCTTCCTCAGCAAAAAAAAAAAAAAAAATCGTTGGGTTTACCTTTTTACCTTGAACTATAAATTCATCGCTCATTTGCCAACTTTTTCCATCTCGTATTTGTTCTGAAGGTTTTTTTCCTTCTCATGAGTCTTCCTCCAGTTTCAGGACATTGTTGCTTTCTTTCATGTCTTTTGGTAATAGCCTGTTTTTTTCTAGGCATCTAATAGATTTTTTTCTTTAGGAATTAGTCCTGTTGTTACTAAGAAATAGATCTTCAGGAATTAGTTCTGTTGTTACTAGCTTTCACGTGGTTTTTTAAATCTACCCCGGGAAGGTTTAGATTTTTAGGATTTACATGGTTTCTCTATGTGTCCCCTTTCTCCCCTGCCAATGATTATGTTTGTTTCTCCATTTTAAAAAGTGTCTTCCTCCAGGTGAACACAACTGAGAAGCCGCTGAGAAAGCCACCAGCCAGGCTGAAAAAACTTGAGATCAAAAAGGAAGCAAAAGATTTCACAACGAAGGACGCGGAAGAGAAGACGCAGGCCGCGGAGGAGCGCAGGAAGGTACCTGAGCTCCCGCACGAGGAGTGTGCTGCCAGCTGAAAGGGGCTCACGTCAGGCCTTTCCTGTCTGCAGCTTTAAGACACATTGCATGGATTTATATTAAGTATTTTAATGATCTGTATGCTTCTTATGCTGTATGTTTAATTTCTAGAATTCTCTTTGTGTGGTGAAGCAATATCCTGAAGTTGGTTGAATTACAGTTTCATCCATATAGCCTAAGGAAACAATACCCAATTCTCAGAATTGTCAAGTATGGAGTTTTCTTCATATGAAAAAAGAAAAACTTCAGTCGGGGCCGGGGTGGGAGGAGGTGCGGGGGTGGAGGATGGGAGCTGAGAGGAGGCTGGGCAGAGCATCAGACGAGTGCTGCAGCATCCGCACACGTGGTCCCCGTGACCCTGCGTCAGCCACTCTGCCGGGAACCAGCCTTCACCGCTTTGCTCTGACAGCCTTCGTTTCCATCCTCTCCTTGGCGTCCCAGAGAGCAAGGACTAGACTAGAAACTCCATGAGGCAACGGAGAGTGTCTGTCTTCTTCAACAGTAATTCCTCAACCTGTGTTTGTTAAGTGACTGAATAATGAAGTAGAGAAGCCATACATGTGAGTGACAGGCAATATTAATGAGAACTTGGAAATGTTATTTGGGCTCTTGTTCATTCTTTAATACTGTTTTTCAGACTAAAGATGAAGAAATAAGGAAAAGGCTACGGAGTGACCCACTTTTGCCCGCAACCAATAATCATTCAGATTCAGCTGAACCCGGTGGGGGCGAGGTTCCATTTGTCAAAGAGTTTAACCCTGGGAGTTGTGCGGTGTTTGAACCATCGGACCTGCAGGGAGGAAAGCCGTTGAAGAGGAAGAAGAGTCAGAGTGATGCGCCCTCAAGTGACAGAAACAACGATTATGAAGGGATTGGGGTCGTGGAGTCAGACATGTCCTACAACCAAGCAGATGACGTATTCTGATAAGCCATTTGATGTGAGTTTCGTGAGAAGGCGTCCATTCTCCCCAGTTGTGATGTTCGTAGTGTGTCTCATGTTTTTCTTTGACTGCCTGACCTCACCCCACTGGGTTTGCCTTGGCTTTAGGAATGATTGACCTGCATGGGTGGGAGGTTAGTTGAGTAAATTAAATGGCTGTGCTAGTTAAAAAAAAAAAAAAAGGAACATTTAACTGGCTTCGATATTATGTAGTTGGCATTCGCCTCCAGCGTGGCTTCAAACATTACGAATACATCTTTAATTTGTGAGTACCTTCTAGCTTACGTTAATATGTTTGTGCCAAATGAAATCATTCTTTTTTGTTTCTGCCTCCTGGCTATGTCCACCCTCTCAGGGTCCTTTAAGACAAAATGTATGGATTTGTATTAAGTATTTTAATAATCTGTATGCTTCTTATGCTGTATATTTAGTTGGTTTTTTAAATTCTCTTTGTGATGTGAAGGATTAAAGCAATATCTGGAAGGTGGGTGAACTATAGTTGTATCCATGTAGGTTAAGGAAGCAATATCCAAGTCACAGAATTAAGTAAAGTATGGAATTTTCTTCCTATGAAAAAACAAAAACTTCAGTTGAGGCTAGGGGTGGGAGGAGGTGCGGGGGAGGGGGGAAGCTGAGAGGAAGGCTTAATGTGAGTCCTTACTTCCCTGCCGGCACTCAGCTGAGGAGTTTGCTGGCCCTCCTCTTATTAGAATTAGACTTTGGTTCTTCCTTCTCCCTTAACACCCGCATCTAATCAGTTATCAGGTCTTATAAGTCTACATTCTAAAGATCTCTTGTGTCCATTTTCATACCTTTCCCCTGACTACCTAGTTTAGACCACCCTACCATCATTCAACTGGAGTACTACAACAGTCTTCTGCATATTTATACAATAGTCAGTCTTCTGCGTAAAACCTTTTGTTGGCCCCCATTTATGGTCAAGGTAAAGTCCAGACTCCTTTTTGCAACTGGTAAGGATCTCAGCTTTCACAATTCACTCACGCTGAACCTCCAGTTCCTCAAACTCAGCGCACTCTCCCTAGCCTCTGGGCCTTTGCACATGCTGTTCCCTCCTTCCCCTCTCCCCTTTTCCTGACTTTACTTGCCTAATGCCTTCTTGTTTATGTCTCCACTCAGACACCCTTTCCTCCAAACCTCCTGGTCTGGGTTGGTGCTCCTCTCTCTTAGTTGCCTTTTGGCTCCCTGGACTGCTCATCTTTGCACTTACCACCCTCTGTAGGAATTGCCTGATACGTTTCCATCTTCACCAGTAGACATTTCCGTTCTGACAGGGCAGAGGATGGGTCTGTCTTGAGCATGGTTGTACCTTGGTCAAAATACCTTGGAAAGTGAATGGCACATAATAAGTGCCGTGTAAATATATATTTCTTGGATGAATCAATATACTCGTACATCCTCCAGAAGCAGGAGGACAGCCCCAGGATATGGTTTGTTTTCCTGGGAACTAGTGGCTGGGGGTGGTGACGATTTGAGTTGAGGACCACTTGGCATCTCCTGTTCACACATTCCCTTTGGAATGTTGCAAATGATGCCTTGTGTTCCTATAGCCTATAGGACTGAGGACACCTGCACCCAGTGAGGTATGATGGTGGTGGTGAAGGGGGCTTTCAGAACCCAAACCTATAAGAATCAGAGTTGACTTCTTACGGTGTGATCTGGACAGTCCTATAGGCTCTCTGTGTCTCCATTACCTTCTATGTTAGTTTGGTGCATCTCCACGGAGTTGTACCAAATGAAATAATGCATTTAAAAGTACTGTATAAACTAGAATATGCCATAATATTTGTAGAATATTATTTATATAAAATCCCATGTGAGCAACATGATGTTTTTCATCTTTTCCTGTGGAGATGATCTCGTAGTGACATGTGCCAATCTTACTAAATATTAGAGTAGCTAAAATGATTGTACGAGGACACTTAGGAAAAGGTTGGGGTATCATTCAGATCTTTACAAATAATAAAATGTAAATGACAAAAAAATAAGTTCAATGCAAATTTATAGTAATTGTTGTGTGTTCAATCCTCAAATTTGCTAAATACCCAAATAGTCCTTTCTCTTGAAATCTTATGCTCTTGCCTGTGCTATTTATAGTGGCTTTGATGACATGTTTGTTGAGTTAAAATATATACAGTATAGATGTAAACATTATCATGGATACCCTGGCTTGAAAACCTCTCTGCATCTATAGAGTTAAACATGCCAATAAGTAACACACGCTAAATGACAAGCTGTGTATTTTCTTAGTGAGACCATCCACTTTAACAGGATGGGAAGAGAGACGAAAATATGGAGCACCTGAGTATGCCAAACTGCTCCAAAACTCTGGTATGCGACTACTCACAAAACCATCTGAGGGTTTAGGGACTAGGAAAGGGAGGCTCAGAGACTCTAAGCAGGTCTCACCTTCTCAGAACCGCTGGCATCAACCAGGATGAAGCTTGTGTTTGAACCTGCTCTGCCTCCAATACCAGCCCCTTCCCTGCAACCCTTTTTTAAACTTGAAATGTAAGTGTGACTTTTTTCCATGATCATATTTCTTTTTTTTTAAAGGATGATGTATACTGAAGAGTAATGGGAAAGAAAGATTGAGATTTCTAAAATAGAGTCTCTGGGATCATGTTAATTTTACGTATTGAAATAACATAATTGGTTTTCTCATTCTTAAAATATAAAGTTTTGAACAACCACCAGAGTATTTGAACTAAAATCGAATCATAACCTTCAGGAAGTTATGAGCCAGGAAGGCAAGATTAGGCAAATGTCTCTATAATCATTTTAATTGGGATCAAGTGAAAAATGCCTGTACAGATTTCTTGTGAAAGATGACCCTGCTGTGTCTAAAAAAGATACTTTGATATCTAGTAAATCCTCTAGTGTTTTGGGGGGGGGGAACCTTATGGTTAATTTATACTTAAAATACTATTAAAAACTTATACTTAAAATACGATTTTAAAATAGTTCACATATATTTAAAATAATACACATTGTAAGATTCTTATGTTAGTAAAAGTAATTTTGTATCGGGGGACAAAAATAGAATTTATCATAGAGCGTTGCTATAGCAACTACCAGTAATTTCTGACTGTGCCTATTTCTGTGTTTGTTATTCCGTTATCAGTAAATAGCTGGTATTTAGAGAAGTAATTATATGGCAAATACTGCATTCTAAAGATGTGTAATGCTACGGCTTGTCAGCAGATGGATCACTTTTGCACCCACATAACGTGTATACGTAGCACCTTCTTGTAGAATGGTAGAATTTACGTCTCAGGCAGGTCAATAAAGGGCATTATTATTATTTTTTTATAATTTTATTTATTTATTTTTTTCCCCCAAAGCCCCAGTAGATAGTTGTATGTCATAATTGCACATCCTTCTAGTTGCGGCATGTGGGACGCGGCCTCAGCATGGCCGGAGAAGTGGTGCATTGGTGCGCGCCCGGGATCCGAACCCGGGCTGCCAGCAGCGGAGCGCGCGCACTTAACCGCTAAGCCACGGGGCCGGCCCAAAGGGCATTATTTTTAAATAAACTGTGGGAGATGACAGTTATGGTCCTTCTGCGTCACTTGTATTTGCTTTTTAAAAACAATAGCTGCCTCTTTATTTTTTTAAATTACTTAAGTAATATGTAACAGGAAATACTGAAAAACATAAGCAAAAAACACCAGAAATCCAACATTTTTCCCTCTTGCCAAGATAACTGCTGGGAATGTTTTGCAATATGTACTTTTTCATTGCAAAAATGGACTCCTGCTACATGGGCTGTTTTGTAACTTACTTTATTCACTCAACAATACAGTGTCTCCACGTAAATAAATCTCCTTCCATAGTATCATTCTTTTTTTTTTTTTTAAAGATTTTATTTATTTATTTTTCCCCCAAAGCCCCAGTAGATAGTTGCACGTCATAGCTGCACATCCTTCTAGTTGCTGTACGTGGGATGCGGCCTCAGCATGGCCGGAGAAGCGGTGCGTCGGTGCGCGCCCGGGATCCCAACCCGGGCCGCCAGCAGCGGAGCGTGCGCACTTAACCGCTAAGCCACCGGCTGGCCCCACAGTATCATTCTTAATGATGTAACATTGTTTAGTTTCCCTAGTACGTTTCTAGGGTTCCCATAGTTCAAGACAGAACAAACATGTCCATTTCTGATTTTAAAATGTTGATAAGTAAAATAACTTCAACATTTCCCTGTTAAAGCAGAACAGTCTGAACCCCTTGGGGGGCAGAAGCTGCCACGCTCCCTTTCCCAGCATGCCACTTCCATTGTCTTTATTCTTGGTCACTGCTCCTCGGTGAAGGACTGGGTGTGCAAATAGACACCGAAGGTCAGATGTGGCCAGTTTTGCAAATCCACCTGCAGACTCTTCTGTTCAGGAAGTTGAATTCATCTCATTACTGTTTCTATTCAGCACACAGAGATCTCAACTGTGCTTCAAAAGCCCACGTGATAAAGAGAAAAGAAGAGTGACAATTATCTTATATCCCAGTTGACTTCCCATTGATTAGGAATAAAGGCTAACCACATTTGCAAAGTGTTGTTGACGGAAAAGTGTTTGCAGTGAAGGGTCTGACACCTCTTCTCTTGTCAATTAGTAACAAGAAATTACAGTCATAAAAATAAAGTGATGGGCTATTTTAAGCACAAAATGAATCATTCTAAACATCAGGGTCGTGAAAGCAATAATTCAATTGCTAGTAATTAATACGTAAATTTCCTCTCCAACACAATTCAGTTCCTAAACCAAACACAATATATCATCTAAAAATGTATATGACAACAATTGATGCTTTTTCCTGCTTAGTTTAAAACAAACAGCAGTGCTCACCTGTTAAATGGGAGAAAGACTGAACAGAGGATTATTTACCAACTCCCCGTATTGGCCAATCCAGTGATTCTCAAAGTGTGGCCCCCACCAGCAGCATCAGCATCACCTGGGAACTTATAATAAATGCAAGTTCCCAGGCCCCGCCCCAGACTTTCTGTATCAGATCATGGGGCCAGCGTTCTGGGTTTTAACATGCCCTCCAGGCAGTTCTGACGTGCACTCAAGTTTGCCCTAAGTTTTCATTCACTTGTAGGCATACCGAGCCCTGCCCACAATAAACTGCGCACTCAAGGCTAGAAGACGACTTTCCAGCAGGACCAAGTACACCTGCCCCCTACCATCGAGTTGAATATTTACCAAGAATCAGTTATGTTTATTCT